TTTTGTATATTTAGTAGAGACGGGGTTTCACCATGTTGACCAGGATGGTCTCGATCTCTTGACCTCGTGATCCACCCGCCTCGGCCTCCCAAAGTGCTGGGATTACAGGCTTGAGCCACCGCCCCCGGCCTTGGGCTTCGTCTTTTCACTTCCTTGGGGCAGACTCACCCTGGCGCACCAGGTCTCGCACGACTTCCTGTGTGGCATTTGTCTGCTGGTGCCACCAACGGGAAAAGAAGGCAATCTCCACGTAAATGAAGCGACGGGTGGGATCCTCCAGTAAGGCAGAGATGACTGAGTCTAGGATGTACTGCACCCCGGCGTGCTGGATGTCATTCTTGACTGTGGATAACAGGGATAAGGCTCTTAGGGCACAGCAGAGCCAAGGACGTTATTCCCAGACACAGGAGCCCAAGCCCTGGATATTAGGGTGACAGTGCCCCCACCCTAATGTCCAGGGCCCAGAGGGGATTCGAGGGGTCATGGGGATCCCCGGGACCACTCCCCATCCTCTACTCACTTCCATAAAAGTACTGGTCCACGGTTTTGAGCCAGCCCACGTCATCATGTGTGTGAGGCACCAGATGCACGTTCAGCATGTTCGGCTGCACCGTGGGGCATGTCTGCACAGAGACCCCAAACACACACAACCTGTCATAAGGTCGGGGGCTGCAAAGTAAGTCTTGATCTAGAGGTGAGTGACTCAGAGAGGATTGATCTCGCCTATGTGCAGAAGGCCAGGCGCTCCCAGGGTGGACACATACATAGTTGAGCTCACATATCCAATTCCCACTTGGCACAACTCCACAGGGCAGCTGTCATTCACACTCTGGGAAAATAATAATAGAAGTAGCTGGGCCGGGAGTGATGGCTCACGCCTGTAATCCCAGCACGTTGGGTAGCCAAGGCGGGCAGATTACCTGAGGTCAGGAGTTCGAGACCAGGCTGGCCAAGATGGTGAAAGCCCGTCTCCCCCCCCCCCAAAAAAAAGGAAAGTAGCTGATGTTTGTTCAGCGTTTGCAAACAGCAGATGGCCACCCTGGGAGGGGGGGTGATGTTATCCCCAGTTTTCAGATGAAGGCACTGAGGCTCAGAGGATAGATGACTTGCCTAATGTCACACAGTCAGAAAGTGAAAGAGCTAGGCTGGAATTTCAGGCAGGCTCTGAAGTCCCAGCTCTCAGATAGCACCTCCCCCCACACATACACTGCTCACCTCCTGCTACCTCCTGCCCCTCCAATCCCACAGTTAAGTGCAGGCAAAGTCCAGGCAACCATCCCGGAGACACGGAGGCAGGTACAATCAGACACAGTCCCATACTCAGATGCGCACAGCCAGACCTCGCAATGACACAAAGTACGCACTCAGACCACACTGTCATATCATCAACCATTCACTAGACACCCACAGCACAGACCCACCCACACCTGCAGGCTGTATTCGGGGCTTCACTCTTGACTCCTGTACGTTTCCGCCCGGAGGCCCTGCTCACCTCGTATCCCCCGGCCCTGGCACCGGGCGCCGCCAGCCACAACAAAAGGAAAAAGCAGAGAGGCAGGAGTTGTGGCCGAAGGGCGCGAGAGAAGGTCCAGGGGCCCGCTGCGTCCGGGCAGCCGCGAGCGCAGACCCCCGAAGCCCGAGCGTAGGCGCCCATGGCTCAGCAACTTCTTCCTGTGGGTTCCCGGGCCCTGGAAAGGCCGGATAAACGCCCCGCCCCCAGGCCTGGCCCGGCCAATCGGCGGGGACGGGGGTGGGGTCAGGGCGCGGCCGGGCGGCGCCAGGAACAGAGGCCATAACCCTGGGCAATCCCCGGGGTCCTTGGGAAGGTAGGAAATGCCACCCTCGGGGCACTGGTTTGGCTAAAGGTGACTCTGGCGTCTCACGGGCTATGAAGAGTCTTGGAGTGTCTTTTAATGCCGGTAGGAGCAGAAGCGCTTTTCCTAAAGGGGCCAGGTGTTCCTAGCTGGTGGACAACCTAGGATGTCCCATCGACCTCCAGCCCTTAGGGTCCTGGAAGGACCTAGCTTGCCTAAGAGAAGGATTTGACGAGAGTCCTATCCTGTGGGGCTAGTACGTTGGGTAAATACCCTTGGAGTGCTGGCGATGGGAGGCATTCAGCGTGGTTGAGAAGGATCCCCGGGTGTTCCCGAGAGGAAAGAGGGTCTGACAAGTGGTGAAGGACCCCAAGTCTTTCAAGCCTTTCCCAATTCCTATCAGCTCATTCTCTGATAAGAAAACAAAGCCCAGGCCAGGCGCCCTGGCTCAAGCCTGCAATCTCAGCACTTTGGGAAGCACAGGCTGGTGGATCTCTTGGGCCCGGGGGTATGAGACCAGCCTGGGCAACATGGGAAAAACCCGTCTCTACAAGAAATACTAAAATTAGCCAAGAGAGGTGTCGTGCACTTGTGGTCCTGTTAACCTGCTGATGTAGTGAAGCCTCAGGTTCTTAGTGCCACAAACAAAGAATTAGACATGACAGGCATAAATAGCAAAGCAGCAAAGTTCATTAAGCACAATAATACACTCTTGGAGAAGGGAGAGCTGACTGACTTCTGCGAAATGAGATAAGCACCAGTTTGGTGTATTTTGGTGTTTTTGTTGTTGTTTTTGAGACGGTGTCTCACTGTCACCCAGGCTGGAGTGGTTCTATCTCACTGCAACCTCTGCCTCCCAGGGTCAAACGATTCTTCTGCCTCCGCCTTCCAAGTGGCTGAAACTACAGACATGCGTCACTGCACCCAGCTCATTTTTGGATTTTTAATAGAGAGGAAGTTTCACCGCGTTGGTCACGGTGGCCTCAAACTCCTGACCTCAAGTAATCTGCCCTCCTTGGCCTCCCAAAGTGCTGGGATTAAAGATGTGAGCCACTGAGCCCACCTGTTTTTTTTTGTTTGTTTGTTTTTTGTTTTTTTTTTGATACCAAGTCTCGCTCTGTCACTCAGGCTGGAGTGGGATGGTTTGATCTCGGCTTACTGCAACCTCCGCCTCCTAGGTTCAAATGATTCTCCTGCCTCAGCCTCCCAAGTACCTGGAATTGCAGGCGTGCGCCATCATGTCTGGCTCATTTTTGTATTTTTAGTAGAGATGTGATTTCACCATGTTGGCCAGGCTGGTCTCCAACTCCTGACCTCAAGTGATCCACTCACCTGGGCCTCCCAAAATGGTGGGATTACAGACGTAAGCCACTATGCCCAGCCCCTGGGGTTCTTCTAGATGTTTTATTCTTTCCCAGGCTGCCTAATCTCTAGCAAGTATGTGCCTTTTGATGGGTGGGTTAATTTCTTGGTTGCTTCCATCCCACAATTTTAAGTATATGCATGATATGTAGCCCATATGCATGAGCTTTACTGACCTAATTGCCATATGCGGTCACTTTTAGGATATATTTTCTCTATAGTGTGCATGCCCATCTTTTAGGAGCTGCCCCTTGCTGGTTCAGTCTGAATTTAGTCAGCCATGGGGTCTCCTTACTTCTTTTGTTACTTATTTTGGGTCAACTACTGCTTCTTTTTTTATTATTATTATTATTATTTATTATTATTTTTTTTTTGAGACGGAGTTTCGTTCTTGTTACCCAGGCTGGAGTGCAATGGCGTGATCTCGGCTCACCGCAACCTCCACCTCCTGGGTTCAGGCAATTCTCCTGTCTCAGCCTCCTGAGTAGCTGGGATTACAGGCACACGCCACCATGCCCAGCTAACTTTTTGTATTTTTAGTAGAGATGGGGTTTCACCTTGTTGACCAGGATGGTCTTGATCTCTTGACCTTGTGATCCACCCGCCTCGGCCTCCCAAAGTGCTGGGATTACAGGCTTGAGCCACCGCGCCCGGCCAACTACTGCTTCTTATCTTGATTCTTACTTACCTGCCTCTTTATCCTGCTTCTGATCCTACTCATTTCTCCTTTTTTTTTTTTCATTTCTCCTTTTATCCAACCTCCAATTTCCTCTGCTCCTACTAATTTCTCCTTTTTTTTTCATTTCTCCTTTTATTCAACCTCCAATTTCCTCTGCTCCTACTAATTTCTCTCGTTTTTTTTTTTTTTCATTTCTCCTTTTATCCAACCTCCAATTTCCCCTGCTATTCTCCTGCTTCAGTTCCAGCTACTTAGGAGGTTGACCACCAGGAAGCCAAGGCTGCAGTAAGACCATGCCCCACTCCAGTCTCGGTGACAGAGTGAGACTGTGTCTCAAAACAAAACAAAACCAAAACGCCAGTGCTTTGGGAGGTGCGTGGATCACTTGAGGTCAGGAGTTCAAGACCAGCCTGACCAACACCATGAAACCCTGCCTCTAGTAAAAATACAAAAATTAGCTGGGCATGGTGGCACAGGCCTATAATTCCAGCTACTTGGGAGGCTGGGGCACAAGAATCGTTGAACAAGGGAGCCAGAGTTTGCAGTCAGCCGAGATACAGATTACACCATTGCACTCCAGCCTGGGCAACAAGATCGAAACTGTCTCAAAAAACAAAAATTAGCTGGGCGTGATAGCACATGCCTATGATCCCAGTTACAAGGGAGGCTGAGGTGGAAGGACTGAGCCCAGTAGTTTGAGGCTGCAGTGAGCAGAGATCGGGCCACTGCACTCAGCCTGTATGACAGATCAAGGCCCCATGATTTTTGTTTTTTTGTTTTTCGAGACGGAGTCTGGCTCTGTCACCAGGCTGGAGTGCAGTGGCAAAGTGCCTCCCAAAGTGCTGGGATTACAGATGTGAGCTACCATGCCTGGCTTTTTTTTTTTTTTTTTTTTTTAAAGGAAAAAAAAAAAAGAAAGAAACCAAAGCCCAGATTATCTAGGTCAGCAGGGCCATCTGGTGAGTTGCCAGAGGGCAGAAGTCCCTGTCTTGTCCCTAGCACCTGACTTAAGACAAATGTTTATGAAGTAAGCAAGTGAACAGCAAGAAGCCTCCAGACTGGGGCTCCACACCAGGCCTGTGGAGCTAGAGCCCTTCCCCTCAATTAGGAGGAACACCCTAATGAACAGAAGAAAGAGGGTGACGGCCAGAGTGAAAAACTTTATTATTAACATTTTTCAACGAGAAAGCAAATGGATACCCCTAGAAACATGGATAGCATGTCCCCCAGCAGTGGGCAGGGGAAGGGAGGCAAGAGGGGTAGGCCTAGGATGTTCCCTAGGAAAAAGCCAGATTCCCTCCATCCAGCTGGGGGCACTGAGACTGCCTCATTCAGGGAAGTCCAGGACAGCAGCTGAGGGAAGCAGGTTGAGCAGCCAAAGGCTAGGCCTAGTGGGTAGACAGGGTCCAAAATGTGACCCTTCTAGGCTGGTATCACCACGGGGGCGTCATGGGCTGAGGATTCTGCAGATAGGACATCACCACGGCAGAGATGGAGAGCCTGAGACAGGAGAAAGGTATCAGTCCAGGATGGACAGACTGGTCCCCCCACCCCTTACTCAGGAGTTCCTCATCCTCTAGGCCAAGTCTCACATGAAGCTACTCATCATTTGCTTCGTGTCCTCTGAGCTCCGAGAGTTGGCAAAGCTGATGAAGGAGCAGTAGACGGCGACCCAAGCACACCACTTCAGCTGGGGAAAAATAGGTGGGTGGGCAGAGGTCAGTGAAAGGCACACCAATGAATCCTCCAAAGCCACCTTTCCAGACACCAGTTCGTGCCCACTGATTCCATCTGATGCAGCTGGGACCTTACCCCTCGAGAGTTCTCTGTTCCACCAGCACATGGCATACTCCAGATACATGGTTTCCTGTCCTACTGCCCGGCCTTCGTCTCTCAGGGCCAAGAGAGACTCTGACATACCACATGCTTAACACCCTGCCCTTTTTCCACGAGTCCCCTCCAAGTTGCTTCAAAGCCTGGCCCCACCCACAGACCAATCTGCCACATCCCCACCCTGACCCGAATCCTTGACTTCCCCAAAGATTGGGGCTTTTTTGGCCCAGCGTTACACCAGTCTCATTCCCGGCCGAACTCAGGTCCTGCCTCATCAGCGCCGGCCAGACGCCCCTCTTCATTCCAAACCCGCCCCCGGGCCTCGTTTTCAGGTCCAACTACACCCGTGGAAGCTCAAACTCGCCCACCTTAAGCATGAGGCCGCACATGCTGAAGATCATGCCCAGCAGGTTCATGTAATCCGGCGTCGGGTCGTCCAAGGCCGGGTTACACTCGCTCGGCGGGGGCTTGTACCTGCGACAGGCTCGAGGGTCAGGGGCGCTCAGGTCCCGCCCTCGGGATGGACAGGCGCTTCCCAGGGCCCCGATCCAAACCCACAGCCCGAACCCGGTGGCCATGACGCTGGTGTCCTCACCTCAGTACTTTGTTTGGCCTCCGTGGGTCCGACATACTGTTAGTGGACATAGCTAGTCGAAAGCCCGGTCACACCTCTTCCGCTGCGAGAATGGCAGCTTCCGGCGTGCAAGCGGAGGGCAGATTTTAGAGTAACACCCAAAGCCCTCGCATTTCCGTTCCTCAGGACGGAGGCTTGGACTCCCCCTACCCAGAGAATGGAGACAGGAGAGCCCAGAAATCTTCCTTGCAAAGGGGAAATTGGGAAAATAACCTGAAAGCGGACTTGAATAGCTCTAACCCGAGCACTCAAATGCCAAAATGATGAACCCGAAAGTGAGAAACAGGAAGTAGGTCAGGGAGGACAATAATAGGGTTACACCCAAGCGTGGGTTTCTCAGGCGCGGAATCGTCCGTACACACCGATTTAAAGCGGCGAGGAAGGGGCCCTGGGACTATGGCTTTCCCTGAGCCAAAGCCGCGGCCACCGGAGCTGCCGCAGAAACGGTTGAAGACGCTGGACTGCGGGCAAGGGGCGGTGCGAGCCGTACGATTTAATGGTGAGCGCCTTTGTCTTCATTCCGGGTCCTCCTCCCGCCTCCTGAGGTCGGCGGCCCAGTAACCCCCGCCTGGTGTTCCCCAGTGGATGGCAATTACTGCCTGACGTGCGGCAGCGACAAGACCCTGAAACTGTGGAACCCACTTCGGGGGACGCTGCTGCGGACGTACAGCGGCCACGGCTACGAGGTGCTGGATGCGGCCGGGTGAGCCGGGGGCCGGGTGAGCCGGGACGGGAGCGCTGAGGCTGGCATCCGAGTTCGATGCTGATATTCCTCCTCCTGGCCTCCAGCTCCTTTGACAACAGCAGTCTCTGCTCCGGCGGCGGAGACAAGGCGGTGGTCCTGTGGGATGTGGCATCGGGGCAGGTCGTGCGCAAATTCCGGGGCCACGCAGGGGTGAGTGAAAGCCTAGAGACCTTCATTGGAGCGGAGGGGACCCGTATTAGCGCACAGGTGGTGACAAGGACACCCTCCATTACACCATAAGGATCCCTTCCCCAGATGGCGATTCCCCGCTCTGCGTGCCAGGCTAGGCAGTCACCAACTCCTATCCTCGCCGTTCCCCCAAAACTTTTCACCTCCCCTTCTCCTCGCCTTTGCTTTAACTGACACTGGGAACCCTACCTTTATCCCAATCGTCCAAAGTCCAGCCTCCTCTGAGTGGCAATAACTTTCTCAGAAGGTGAACACGGTGCAGTTTAATGAAGAGGCCACAGTTATCCTGTCCGGTGAGTCTGGGGCCTCGGCAGGGGGGCCCAGGGTGCTGCCCTCCCAGTCCAAACCTGACCTCACCATCATCCTGGCCTCACAGGCTCTATTGATTCCAGTATCCGCTGTTGGGACTGCCGTTCACGGAGGCCTGAGCCAGTGCAGACGCTGGATGAGGCCAGAGATGGCGTGTCCTGTGTGAAGGTGTCAGACCACGAGGTCCTGGCAGGGTGAGTGGAGCCAGGACCTGGTCTCACCCCAGTTGCCACTGGGAATCACAGCTGCCCCCATGCTCAGATTAAAACCTACTGTCACCTGGGTGCAGTAGCACACAGCTGTAGTCCCAGCTACTCGAGAGGCTCAGCTGGAAGGGATCACTTGAGCTCAGGAGTTTCAGGCACTACTGCACTCCACCTTGGTTAACAGACTGAGACTCTGTCAAAAAAAAAAAAAAAAAAAAACAGGCTGGATGTGGTGGCTCAAGCCTGTAATCCCAGCACTTTGGGAGGCTGAGGTGGGTGGATCACCTGAGGTCAGGAGTTTGAAACCAGCCTGGCCAACACGGTGAAACCCATCTCTACTAAAAATACAAAAATTAGCCAGGCATGGTAGCGGGAGCCTATAGTCCCAGATATTCTGGAGGCTGAGGCAGAAGAATCGCCTGAACTCAGGAGTTGGAGGTTGCAATGAGCCAGGATTGCGCCACTGCACCCCAACCTAGGCGACAGAGCAAGACTCTCAAAAAAAAAAAAAAATATATATATATATATATATATATTTTAATAAAACCAATCATAAGGAAGAAAAATACCTTTTTTCTATTCATTAAGTAGAAGTGGAGAGATCATAAAGATCTTCATATTGAGAAGGTGGAGGAGGGCAGGGGGCGGTGGCTCACACCTGTAATCCCAGCACTTTGGGAGGCTGAGGTAGGCGAATCATGAGGTCAGGAGATCGAGACCATCCTGGTCATGGTGAAAACCTGTCTCTGGCCGGGCGCGGTGGCTCAAGCCTGTAATCCCAGCACTTTGGGAGGCCGAGGCGGGTGGATCACGAGGTCGAGAGATCGAGACCATCCTGGTCAACATGGTGAAACCCCGTCTCTACTAAAAATACAAAAAATTAGCTGGGCGTGGTGGCGCGTGCCTGTAATCCCAGCTACTCAGGAGGCTGAGGCAGGAGAATTGCCTGAACCCAGGAGGCGGAGGTTGCAGTAAGCCGAGATCGCGCCATTGCACTCCAGCCTGGGTAACGAGAGCGAAACTCCATCAAAAACAAAAACAAACAAACAAAAAAACCTGTCTCTACTAAAATACAAAAAATTAGACAGGCTTAGTGGCTCACACCTGTAGTCCCAGCTACTCAGGAGGCTGAGGCAGGAGAATCACTTGAACCTGGGAGACGGAGGTTGCAGTGGTGAGCCGAGATCATGCCACTGCACTCCAGCCTGGCGACAGAGCAAGACTCCTTCTCAAAAAATATAAAATAAATTTTTTTTTTTTTTTTTTTTTTTTTTTTGAGATGGAGTTTCGCTCTTGTAACCGAGGCTGGAGTGCAATGGCGCGATCTCGGCTCACCGCAACCTCCGCCTCCTGGGTTCAAGCAATTCTCCTGCCTCAGCCTCCTGAGTAGCTGGGATTACAGGCACGCGCCACCATGCCCAGCTAATTTTTTGTATTTTTAGTAGAGATGGGGTTTCACCATGTTGACCAGGATGGTCTCGATCTCTCGACCTTGTGATCCACCCGCCTCGGCCTCCCAAAGTGCTGGGATTACAGATGTGAGCCACCGCGCCCGGCCTAAAATAAAATTTAAAAAATGCCAGGTGCAGTGGTGCGTGCCTGTAGTCCCAGCTATTCAGGAGGCTGAGGCTGGAGGATCTCTTGAGGCCAAGAGTTCTGGGCTGTAATGCGCTATGCTGATTGGGTGTCAGCACTAAGTTCGGCATCAATATGGTGACCTCCTGGGAGCGGGGGACCACCAGGTTGCCTAAGGAGGGATGAACCGGCCTAGGTCAGAAACGGAGCAGGTGAAAACTCCCATGCTGATCAGTAGTGGGATCGCGCCTGTGAATAGCCACTGCACTCCAGCCTGGGCAACATAGCGAGACCCCGTCTCTTTTTTAAAAAATAGTAAAATAAAAATAAAAAAGAAGAGAAGAGGAGGAGTTGGTCTTGTTTTCTCAGGGCTGAAAGAGGCAGAAGAAATCCACATATAAGTGGACTCTGGATTCAAACCTGCATTGTTCACGAGTCTACCGTACTTTGAAAAGTGCTCACACTCTCCAGATGCTGCTGTTGGGTAGTGGGGAAAGTGATGGGACTTAGTACTGAGGAGGAAGAGCTGGAGAATGCAGGAAAAAGGGGAATCGGAAGGACTCCATGGGTTTGGAAAGGGGGTGTGGGTCGTGGAAATAATGGAGTTAGCCTGATTAGCCTTGGTCCTGAGTCTCAAGGCCAGAGCTTCAGAATTCCACCCCTGTGCCCTGGATGAGCAGGCCCAGTGGGCTGGGAACGCACAGGGCTGCCTGGAGCCATGGTGCTTAGTCAAGGCTCCTGCTGGACCTACCCTCTGCTGCAGCTCTGTGGATGGCCGTGTGAGACGCTATGACCTGAGGAAGGGGCAGCTCTTCTCAGACTACGTGGGCAGTGAGTGGCCGGGGATGTGGGGTAGGCAGGGAAGATGGGGGACCAGCTAGGGGCACCCCAGACTCACTCACTACCCGCCCCTCCCCCAAGGCCCCATCACCTGCACCTGCTTCAGCCGGGACGGGCAGTGCACCCTAGTGTCCAGCCTGGACTCCACATTGCGGCTCTTGGACAAAGACACAGGGGAACTGCTAGGCGAGTGAGTCCTTGTGGTCATGGGGTCCCCTTCCCTCCTCTCCCACCCCTGGAAAGGAGCAAGCCTCGCCTATCCTGCCTGCCCTTAGGTACAAGGGCCATAAGAACCAGGAGTATAAGCTGGACTGCTGCCTAAGCGAGCGAGACACACATGTGGTCAGCTGCTCTGAGGACGGGAAGGTGTTCTTCTGGGACCTGGTGGAGGTGAGGTGCCCCCAGCCCCACTTCATACCTAGGTGCCTGCCCCGTGTCTTTACCTCAGTCACCGTCAGAGCGAAACTCTGTCTCAAAAAAAAAAAAAAAAAAAAAACAATAAAAAAAATCAATAAAAGAGACTCCTAAGACATGTGGCCTGGGAGGACAGAGCTACTGAGGGGCTCAGTCTAGGGTAGATTCATTTTGCAGTGTCCAGGAGGCAATTTGAGGCAGGTGGCTGAAGGTCAGGAGAGAGGTGACAGAGAGCTCCAGGAAGGACTGAGATGGGGGTGCCCAGGGACCTCAGGAACCAGGGCACAGCCTAGTCACAGATAACCATTCCCCATCCCTTGCTCCACAGGGTGCTCTGGCTCTGGCTCTGCCTGTGGGTCGCGGCGTGGTGCAGTCACTGGCCTACCACCCCACGGAGCCCTGCCTGCTGACCGCCATGGGGGGCAGCATTCACTGCTGGCGGGAGGAGGCCTATGAGGCAGACGATGGAGCAGGCTGAAGCCAGAGGACCTACCACCAGGACCAAGGACAGACACAGATGCAGAAGGACCGCGGAGACCATTTTATTCTAGAGATGCAGCTGACCAAGGAGTAGGGGAGGGGCTGGGTCTGCAAACTAATAAATAGAGGGGGGTAAGGCCTCCCTGGGACCGCAGCTGCTCAGTCCTCATTCTTCTCGGGCATGAAGGCATCCACCTTCTGGGCAAAGGTTTCAGCCACGAGCAGGGGGAAGACCAGGGAAGCGTCGGCATAGACCTGTAGGGGGGGACTGGGTAAGCTGTGGGACCCATGGCCATAGTCCTGGAGACCCTGTACCCTGTCCAGCCTGGCCATACCTTGACAGGCTGTGCATCCATCCGGATCTTGCCCCAGGAGACAGCCTCGTCTGGTCTGGCGCCCGAGTCAGAGCCATCAAACTCCTGGGCCGTGTTGATATAGACAGCATAGTTGGCCCCATTCCGCTGTGGGGAGGGGACAGGGAGGGTGTGCCCAGTCAGCCGGTTCCAGGAGACAGACACAGAAGGGGACACTATAGCCAAGCAGGCTGAGGTGTGCGTCCTAGATGAAGGAAGCCCTTGGCAGCCCCTCACTCCCAGACAGGGCTTATGGCAATGCTTGGGGTCACTAGAGCTGATGGGAAACAATGGCCACGTGTCCCAGAGGTGTCAACTCTATCTTCAGAAGCCCTGCAAACCCAGCCACCTCCCGCCTCCACGGGCCCGACCCTGGTTCCTGCATGGTCACTACAGCCCTGGACTGCAGTTCTCACTCTCCTGCCACCATCTGTTCCCCACGTGGCCACCAGAGGGAGCACGGGAACCCCCACCTCCCTCAGTGCAAAGGCCAAAGCCCTTGCCTCAGCCTACAAGGTCCAGCAGGCT